TAGGACACAAATAAGAGGGGTGGAAAGTGGCCCTGAAAAAGCCAATATATGTTTTATATATGTATTGGAGTACTGCCTTGAACGAGATCACTTGTTTTTTTTTACCTAGTATTATTGTGAATAAAGCGAGATTAACAAAAATGTGAGGCAAATGTCGCTCTACGACGAGCCTTAAAGCGCCGATGAAAAAACACTTTAGTATAATGTAGTTAATCCACAGTAAGGATTGCTAACAAAACTAGACATTTTATGCATAGAAGAAGAGTTTCAAGACTACTCTCATCATAAAACTAGACATGATTGCGAAGGGCAATACAAAATTCGGGAATCATGAGAAATATGTCATCAAATACCAGACCATATTCGTATTCAAACCTCATACCCAAAAAAATTAGCGTGTTTTTAAGGGATTTGAAGTAAAGCTATTAAGGTATGAAGATCAAAATGTATAGATAGGAGCGTTAAACAGGACACCAAAAAGAGGGACTAGTTTGGCTGATTACGGGATGAATATAGCTAGCCTTGCCTATGCTACGTAGCTCGTAAATTCCCCAACAGTCTCACCAATTGACAAATTTATGCGTACTACTAAGATGGCAATTTTAATCACAAACCTTGGGAAGGTATCTGCTTAATTTGGAAAGAATTCTTTACTCCTGTTCATCCGTCAGTTGCCGCTGCGGGTCAATGGATCAAGCAAAACAGTGGTTAATAGGACGTTCTGAACGATGAAGTACCGCAAAAATACCGTTATGAAGACGATGAAATTTTGTCAATATATATACAATAGAAGGGGTCTGAATTTATCTTGATCTGGGCTAGTCGGGCGAAAAAAGATTTGCCAAGAAGTAAGCATCTGCGACCAATCCTTTTATATGACATATTAGAAAATAACGAAGCCAATCGATTTCTGACTTCCCACTTGCTGACTGATTTAGATAGTCAATAGCTGGTCTTATACTAGCAGATTACATCTTCACTTTTCGACTAAGACCAATTACATCTTTCATTTTTTTAGTATATCTGCCAATCAAAGAAGTGTCAATGGACTAGGCGGGCTGATCGGACTTCGCGTCAATCCTCATTGTATCGCCTTACCCGACTCAATGGCTTCAAGCATCAACTCGGGTGCTGGTGTCGCAACGGACTCAGCATCTGTACCTCAGCTTGCAAACTTGCTGCCTCGTTCTTCAAGGTCTACAGACACTCTTCGGCCGACTGATTCATTTTTAACTGTCCATGATGTAGATGCTGATTCTCGAGATCTTAAGTGTGATAACCTCCAGACCAGCCAAGCTGATTCATCTGAGGCGATGGGCAAACCCGTTGTATTTCTGGAATATGGTGACTTATGAATTAGTTTCGCTCCTCTCTTCTGCCATAGTCAGGACTTAGGTAAACCTTATTCCATTCGTATATTCACCATTACTTTAA